ATCCATCTACTAAAATATTTTGGGAACATTTGAATGAAATTAATGACAAGTGTAAGAAATGAATATGATATGAAGTAATGAAATGAGAAATGAATGTTGGGAAAGTGGGGGTTGAAGTTGGACCGAATACAAGAAAGCCACATATTCTCTCAGGCTTGGAGACGCACGCCTTCAGCTTTTCAGAAACAGTAAACGCTAACCACCACTAACTCTTTTCCTCTGCCTCCCCATTTTTTTCCATACTCTCCCCACTCATTATTAACTTCACTACCCTAAGATAACTTCTCTGTACTCCTTTTTCCACCAATCATCATAAATTCCAATCCTTCAACTTTTTCTATCTCTCTTCTTTCCTTCTAACCAAAATTATTCATCTTTCTTTTATTTATCTGCTATGCTAACTTCAACTANACCATCTTCAACATTTCTACCAATTTTTCTTTCATTTTTCGTTGATTAAGTGCTTAGGAATGATTTTATTTCATTTTAATCGATTGATTTTGCGCACAAGTGCTTTTCGAATAGACGCTTTGGGATGTTCATTTCGTTTCGTTTCAACCCCAAACTCACCTTCAAGGTTAGTTTCGTTTTAGGGTTTTCATGTTTCGTTTGGTTGTTTGTTGGACAACGTTTTGTGTGCAGTGTTTTCTGGACAACGTTTCATGTTTTCTATTTTCCCGACAAATAGAAAACAACATTTTTTGGACAGTGTTTTTGTGTGCAGGTTTGTTTATGTGTTTTTTTTATGTGTTTCTAGTATAATGTAATATAGTTTATGTGATCTGAAATAGTTACAAAAACAATCAAATTTTTTTAAGAAATAACATACTTTAGACAACACTTCTAGTAAAAATCGAGGCAAAAAAGGGTCTATTGATTTGGTTTTGGATCCAACCGAGGTAATAGACCCAATTTTTTTTTACTTTACAGCTTCGGGTTTTTTTGAACTGAGGCAAAATTCTAAGCTTTTTGTCTCAGTTTTTGAACCGAGGCCAAAAGTATCAACTTTTTACCTCATTTGAATATATCATAGTTCTGCAACCGTTGTCGTAAAGCCAAAACAACCGAGACAATATCCTTTCGTTGCACTAGTGACACTACAAGGAGAATATCTGGAAGAGGAGAAAATTTTTATTTTGATTTATCTTTTGTAAATATTGGCATTTATATATTTGAGTAACTTTATATTTACATTTTGTATGAACATAAGCTTTGTAAAAACTTTCTCGTGAATTATAATATATATTATTGATAGTTTAAATTTTAGAGGGTTATAAATTTTGATTGAGTTAATGTATATTATGTTGGATATTGGATGCCTTGTGATTACATATATGGGATGGTATGTTGAATAAGTCTATTATTTAAGATATTAAGAACAAAACCTATTATTGAAAGAAGATATATTTGTTTCCCTCATAATCTAAATCATGTAAAGTAAAACACTAAATGATAAGAAATATTAAGAGTTTGACACTGTTGGACCACAACTTTAGTTGACAGTTATGTGTGCAATGAACTCACCTTGGCCTATTAAGTTAAGCTTTGTAGACCAAATATGTTTGAAACAGATCAAATATTAGTCTTTCAGAAGTCATGCTTAATACAAGTCTTAAAAAAAATTATATTTCTGATGTTTGACATATTATATTTATTTTAAGTTTAGATGTATTTATATATCTAAAATATTTTAGAATGCATTAAATATAATTTGTTGGACTTACACTAATATTTAAATATGTTATTGTTGCTGGTAGAGATAAGGGTTTGAAAGATCTAAAATAAACTTAAGCATGTAGTCATTTTATTTACTAATAAAATAATAATTTGTTAAAATGTATCATAATTTTAATTAAATTTTATTTTTTATTTTTTTTATGTAAAATTATTTATTAATTTGTCGTAATTAATTTCATTTAACTTTTTTTTAATAGATAATAAGATCAGTATGCTTAATTTTTGTTTAGACTTTATTGATCTTAAATAAGTTTTTATTATTTTTAGTTCTGAAAAACTCATTTCAACTAAAGTAATTAGTATTGTTAACATTCACTACATCTGCAATTTTAGTAGGGTTTTTTTTCAAAGTTATTGGGGAAAAGCTGTGTCACAAAGGTTCCGGCGGTTTTCTGTGAATTTCCAAGGGTTTTGGGAACCGTCGAAACTAACTGGGGTTCCTTAAAACCGCCCCTATTACCCGGGATTGTTGGGAAACTGCCAACATTTACTGGGTTTTGCAAACTGTCCCTTTTCCAGGGTTTTCTACAGAACCGCCGGAACTAACCGGGGTTCTACAAACCGCCGGAAATGCATACAGATCTTTTTATTTTGGGTTGAAATTGAGAATTTCTTAATTCTGATGCATCAGAGACCTATCTAGCAGTGTAGTGGTTTATGCCAATAAAATCAAATTAATTAATAAACAATCTGGAATGCTTCTTTGTAAATTTTGGATAATCTCCTTTTGTTAATGGATCCATAAACCTTCAATGGAACAAGTTTGTTTTCAGAGAATGGCACACTCCAAACAAAATTCAATGTTATGCCATTTTGAATTCTCTACACAGTTTTGCTATAAAAAAATTAAAGACAAAGATGTTCAATACTAAAAATTAAATAAAAAGATGTCTAAGGTTCTTCTTCTTCATTACATTTATCGTTTGGCACACTTCCTTGATCAGATACCCACAATATAACATAATAGTTAGTCGGTTATATATTTAAAAAAAGATCATACAAATAAATTTAGCAATTATTACCGATGATGGTTGAAATGTAGCAAGCTGTGAAGGCAATTGACTCGGATAATTTTGCAACAATAATGATATCACTGCCTTCATTTCATTGACTTGTGTTGTCAATGAAGATACCTTTAAAAGAAGAAATTATTTAAAAAGTAAGAAAAATGATATCTAAGAAGTTGATCATAAAAAGAAGAAACCAAGTCATCGATAAAATATTCATTAACCTGAGTTTGTAATTCAACATTAGAAGTAGAAGTTGAAGATGATCCACCATGAGAAGGATCATGGACTCCAAAGACTTTAGATGGGCAAGGACCCAAACCTAAACCGCGAACGCGTCCACAATGCTCTTTGATTCCTAAAGTATGAGTCAATGAATCTGAACTGGATATTTCTTTTGATTGAGTCGATGATATTGTAGATTCATATCCTTCAATTTTTTCCTACATACAACATTTAATAAAATAGTGAAATCATCTAAATCAGATAAAACAATTCACCCAATTTCATTATTAGTAGATATACAATTATCAATACACAAACAATTTGATTCTAAGTCCAAACAGAAACAACACCAGATTCAAGAGTTGGGATTCTAATTTCCAGAACCAGATTTCAATGGGCTATTTTTACTACACTATCAGAAGACTTTTACTTCAATTTTCTTTGGTTCAAACAGAAACAACGTGAAAGGTTTAGTCTTTGAACCCCATAGAAGAGAACATAACAGAGGTTGATTCGATTTGCAAAGGAGAAAAAAAAAACAGGGAGTGGGGGGCCTGATTTGTATGCTGGCACAGAAAGAGAAAAAAAAATTCTTAAAAGTTGATGGAAGTGAAGTGAGGTGAAATGACATGGGAATCAGTGTATTTTTCTTTTTCTTTTGTTTTCACTGCAGCTTTTGAACTAAATTTCAGTGGGTCTGAATCCATCTACTAAAATATTTTGGGAACATTTGAATGAAATTAATGACAAGTGTAAGAAATGAATATGATATGAAGTAATGAAATGAGAAATGAATGTTGGGAAAGTGGGGGTTGAAGTTGGACCGAATACAAGAAAGCCACATATTCTCTCAGGCTTGGAGACGCACGCCTTCAGCTTTTCAGAAACAGTAAACGCTAACCACCACTAACTCTTTTCCTCTGCCTCCCCATTTTTTTCCATACTCTCCCCACTCATTATTAACTTCACTACCCTAAGATAACTTCTCTGTACTCCTTTTTCCACCAATCATCATAAATTCCAATCCTTCAACTTTTTCTATCTCTCTTCTTTCCTTCTAACCAAAATTATTCATCTTTCTTTTATTTATCTGCTATGCTAACTTCAACTACCCTATTTTTTTAACGATAACAAACATTTCCTTTTATATATTAACATTTGATTATAAAGTTCATTTTCATATTACATCTATAAATTTCATATTTGTTGCACTAAACTGTTGTTATACATACGTAACAGGAATAAAACTTATTCCAATTTCTCTTGCCTCATCACTAACAAAAGTTTCATTGGTCTTCTTATGGGTAGTTATCCAGACTTTTCCTCTACTAACTTTGTGCCCACGCTCTCTTTCCTATGAAAATGGACGAATGCACAATAAGTAAGTATGTCATAAATATAATGAGAAATAGAAAGCTCAAGAACAATAACATTTAACCATTTGTCCATTAAAACAACCTATGTTCATGCCAAGAGGATTGAAAGGTTAGAATAAGTGACGGTATTCAACGAAACACTACATAAGATGAATTTACTAAACTGGTTATAAAACTAAATAGTACTAAATTTATGGAATTGAAGAATTCAAAACTAAGTAGTCCCTGCTTAGTTATGAAATTTGTCTATGTCACTCTAAACAGTCCCATATGTTAGTTTCGGTTATTATTGCAGAAATGGATATATTAATAAAAAAAGTTGTATTCATTTCTCATCTCTGTATGTAAGGGGAGTTTGACATTTTAGTAATACTAACACATAAGAATGAGTCCAATATCAAACAACTATCCTGAAAAATTTTCATTAACAATTAAGATCAAATACAAAATTTATCGTGTCATTTTTATTCGCACAAAATAGTAACATGGTATATATACTCGTGTTTCTTGACAATTTAGGTAAGACGAAAAACACACAGTATGAAAAAAAAACACTAAGGAAATGACAAGATGTATAAAGACAAGACAATGGAAAGACCACCCCCATGTCAAATAACCACTAAGGACAGAACATATGGGGGCATATTGGGAGTGTTGATTTGATAGTTAAACATGCATGCTGTTTCCTCTCTCGTCATATGGTCTACTTATGAATTTAACACAGCTGAACCACCAAACTCTAAAACAACAAAAGATGTTAGTCAGTCGCCATTGCCAATAGATATGTCATAAAAGTGATGGCTTGGTTGATTAATTTCTAGATGCAATAGAGATGTCTACATAATGCATTTTTTGTGGTAAATTCTTCATATTTAAATCACTTATTTGTAATATTTCTATGTATACATTAATAGAAGACCAATGTTCTATTACATGTAAAGTCATTTAACTTTACGCTCTTATTCGATATAGCTGAGAGCAGAATATCTAAGAAACTTCTGTAACCGTGTTGTGCATGTCTTTTGATATTTAATTTATGTAAGGGCCTTGTAGGAATATTTTACTATGTCATTGCCAACATTTATGAATTACATATTTATATATATATATTTAAAGTTCTGAAAAATGATTGTATAAGGATTACTTTCAGATATTTTGCAAAATTTATGAGTAAAAGTGAAGTTATTTTTAAAGCAAGGCAACTAATGCAGCAAAGTTTGTCTCATGGAGCATCTAGTCCAAAATTGTCCAAAATGCTAGAAGTATTGCTGGAGCATTTCAGTAAGTATTATTCTGTTTTTCAAAAGGTGTTGGTATTTGCTATTACCTTCTTACGGTATTGTTATGTAAAGAAAGTTTTGAATTCTTGAGGCAAATGACATTGGTCTTAGTTCTCACAACATATTATACCCAATAAGACCAAGCTGTGACTGAATATTAACTGTGCAACCAGCTAACGGAAGTAGGGAATTTAATGTAAATTTACAGCGATTTTCCTTTTACTTTTGAATGCTTTAAATTCCAATGAAGAGACTAGTTATGAGTTTTAAAATGGTGTTCGGTATGCTTCTTTTAGATTGATCTAGGGGTGTTTAGAAGAGCTTCTATGAAGAAAATAGAGAGTATACACCCTTGGAATAATATTTACTTGTGTATGGTGTTGTATAATGATATGATAATGTTCTTATAAAATTTGAAGTATTCAAAGCTACATGCTATAATCCTAATGAAATAAAGAAACAAATCATCAAATATTATAAAACTAATTTTAAGAGAAAATTTTCAATATACTCTAAAATATTCAAAGTTAAAATATTGATATTATAAGATATCCCAACAGTGTGTTTAGGATGCTATTTATCCTTTATGATTTGGGCAGTTTTATTATGCCATGGCCTCAAGGCTGAGTATTTTTTGGAGGTTAGAAGATATGTTTCTTTGCCTTTTGGATTTCTTTTTTTCCTTTTCTAAAATAGCTATTTTGTTATAAAACTGAATTTGATTTTGAATTCTTTACTGTTTCAAGACAGTCTTAAATATTTTGGAATAAAATTTCAGTCATTTGCTTCTGGTTGAATCTTGATTTGATTTTTTTTTTCTAATAAATTTCCATCACACTCTTTAATGGATGCATTATGCATACAATGAATTCACTTGGATGTGGTTAATAAACTATCATTATACTGATAAGATGATGGATGACTTCTTTGGATGTGGTTGCAGAAACCCATGATCCACAAAGCTCCAGGGTAATTATCTTCTCCAATTACAGAGAAAGTGTCAAGTAAAGTTAATTTGAATTATTTAAAATCATATTCTACACAGCTATTGGAAACTTTTAGCCAAATTAAAAAATTTATTGTGTCAATTCAATTCCTTCAGGGATATAATGAATGCACTTGAAGATATTGGGGAATTAGTTAGAGATACTGAGTTTATTGGTCAAACATTCATTATCAATTACAAAATCTGTCATGCCATTTGATTCACACAAAATAGTGATAGTGTATGTAAATTGATTTTAAGCTAATTTCAGTACTAATTTCAAGCTTATATTATATAAACACAGCCAATTTATTTGCTTCCTTCCAGTAGCCAGTTACAAACAGGTTTCTATCATATTTATAGACACACACCAAGCATCATCAATCAAACACTAATCACAGCAAACAAGAATCCCAAGGACTATGCTTAGCTCATATATGCCACATAGTGAATATATGTGACATTCAGCCGCATAAATAAAGGGCACAAAAAAGTAAGCATACGAAATCTCAAACGCCCAATAGTGTGAATATATGTGACAAGACTAATCTTGCCAGGGTGATTGTACAAAGATGATAGAGAGAACAGAGAGGGAACGCCCTAGAAACAACACCAAAAGAAATCCCAATCAACTATTAGACAACTAAGCTAGACATAATACAATATAAAAAGGAATTTTGTAAACCTTTGTTAAGAGAGGCCTAATATAATTGTCTGCTGCTTCTGGAAATTTGTCACCTTGTAAAAAATCTAGTGGTATTCTCTGGCAAATAAAAAGATAAAAAGGAAATTTTTTCATTAAATAAACCACACTCCAATAATAACACTCATGTCACTAAGAAATATACAAGTGGAGCACCAAAGCAAGGATTCCTTGATCCGCGTATATCTTCCTAAATTGTTATACAAGAGAAAAAAAAAACAAACACTATGCTCACACACTTATTATACTAATAGATACTAAATCCAAGTTTTCTCAATATATGACATAAAGCAAGAAAAATTGAAAATTCCATCTCATAATAAATTAAATATCATTGAAGCAATATTTGAATGGCTAACCTATTTTCAGAGAAATATTTCATACTGATAACATGGCAGAAATAAGTATGTTATTTTTCTTTTGTTTCGTGTTTGGTACAGTTTAAAGATTGAGAGTGGTCCATCCATGGTCAATGATACTTATTGATTACTATCTGAAGCTATACTTCCCGTGTGAAGTAGAAAAGTGGGAAATGATCAGAAGTTGAAGCATCAAGTTCCTTAGGTATCATATATACATTCTCAATATATAATATGCATATCAGTACTACAATGTCTCCTGCCATGGTAAACCGTATACACGATTCTGAAGTTGAAGCAGGATGGGAACGATCAATTATGGAAATTTTGAGGAGGTGCTGTCCAATAACAGTTTCAAAAACATTTTAATTTCTATTAAAATTAGGATACGACATGCACTGCTTGTCATATAAAAAGAATACAGTGTACACACCGTATCAAACCGAATAGAACCAAGTTCAAAAGAAAAAACAAATTTAAAACTATTCTGCCACTGAATTAAAATCATTCCCCTTGGCCATTTATAATTTCTCTTAAAATTAGGACAAAGCAACCACTGCTTATCGTAATATAATTTCACACAAAACTCTCCTTAAGACATCAGGTAAACAACAGTTTCAGTAT